CCTCCGACTGCGTCATCACCTAGATCCTGCATCCACAAAGGAAAATAACGGGGTGAGCACAAAATAATGCTCAGTAAGTAAACCCTCTATCTGTTTATCCTCGTATGTATTTCTCTTAATTCTTTCCTCAAACTTTCTGTTGTTTTCTACTAAACGTCATGGCCTCATCTTACCGGAGGTACGGCCAGATGGCGTTCACACAGCACCATCTCACTCTTCATGACTGTCGGGTGGAGTTCACACAGCACCAACCCGCTCTTAGTGACTACAGAGTGGGGATCACGAAGCACCTACCCAGTTTTCGTAACTATCGGGTGGAGATCACAAAGCACCTACCCGTTCCTCATGACTTTCGGGGGATGATCACAAAACATCAACCCGTTTCTAATAACTAATCGGGTGATGATCACAAAGCATCAACCCATTCCTAATAACTATTGGGTGATGATCACAAAGCATCAACCCATTTCTAATACTCTTCTCATTCACTCTACTCTAGCACTTCTCATTCTCTCTACCCTTAGAGTAGTTGCATCCACAAAGTTCTCTACTCTTAGAGCAAGTGCATACACAAAGTCTCCTACTCTTTCTTAAGTCACTTCTCAATGTACAATTAATGCCTATGGATGATTCATCTCCACTAATGCACTTATGAAATGCCAACATGCAATGTTGCAAGAATTAAGGTTCACTACTCATGCTCAAACCTCTATTAGGCATTTCATCAAACAACTCAAGGGCATAACAAAACCCTACTATAACAATAATTCTATGTCTTTCTCTAACCATCCAAAATGGGGGAAAACTCCCTCACATAGCCATATTTCCTGCCATAGAATAGCACTTCCAAAAAGGATTTCTCAATATCCTTCAATTCCATCTCAAACTACATTTCCAACCCACATCTCACTTCTCACAATTGAAGTGTATGAACAACCACAAGCAATAATAATCTCAATTTAAAACTCAATAACATAGCATATAACATGTATATAACATACATACATAATGGCTATTAAAAACCCTAATCAAGAAAATTCTCAAATCTCAACTTGGGTCGGGATTTACTTACTTTGTTATGGAGAGATCTCACTAGCTCTTCCTTTCTCTTGGTTTGCTTGACTCTTTCTCTACTCTTAAATAAATAAACCAAAAGACCTCAAATTCAAATATACATAAAAACTCACAAAGCTTCACAACCAAAGCAAGAATCCTTACCTTAGGATGCCTTAGATTAATTTTCTACCCTTAATCACTCCAACAGCCCTTTAAAAATCCTTGAACAAAAGAAAGAGAAATTGAGAGGAAGTAAGAAAGGAGAGTGGCGATGGGGAAGAAGAATGAAGGGTTTGCAATGACTTCATTCCTTTTAATGAAATTTATGCACAAACATTCCCATTTTGCCCTTACTCTTCCTTAGGAATTCCATCTATATCCTTTGATTCATTACAAACACACCCCCATATCAACATATTCTCCATGAAAATTCCTTACATATTACTCCCCACTTTTCTTACTAATTAGGGGTAGAATGGTCAAATTTCCCTTAGGGAAGAAAATATCTGAAACTTAACAAACATTTTGGTCGGCCCGTTGCCGCGGAGAAGAAGCTTCTGTCGCCGCGGCAAAACTGTCCAGCAGCTTCCCCGTGGCTTCAACACCTCTTCGCCGCGGCGTAGATTCTTCTTCGCCCCGGCGAAGCCTGAAACATTGAACTTCTTCTATTTCAACCAATTTCAGGGCAAGTATTCAACATATCACTCAATCAAAGGTCAACCAAACAATACTACTAATAAACCAACTCAAATAAGAGCAAAAGAAGAAACATTAGCTACGTACCTCAAGTGGGGCGTTACACTCCTGTATTGTTTTGAGTGCTGCAATGAGGAATTATGAGTTGAAGAGTATCCATTTTCAAATGTTTCCTTCATTCCATGGGATGGCCACTGAAGATCCATTGACATTTATTAGAGATTTTTACTCAACCATGCAAACTTTTCCTTTGCAGGGTTTGACTGAAAATCAATTGAGGATGAGATGTTTTCCATATACATTGAAGGATGTAGCAAAGAGTTGGTTCATTTCATTGGCATTAGCTTCACTTACTACTTTGGACGTGGTCTACAACAAGTTCATAGGTAAATTTCATTCTCATGCAAAGACTACAGAACTAAGAGGTAAAATTGCTACTTTCTCTCAACTTGATGGTGAGCCGTTCCATGAGGCTTGGGAAAGATTTAAATTGATTTTAGTTCAATGTCCATATCATAGATACCCTTTAGAATTGTTGAATCAATTTTTCTATAATAGACTAACACAGGCTTGCCAGGCCATAGTTGACAATGTTGTAGGTGGTGCCATGGGAGAAAAGACCGCAGAGGAGACATACGAGTTGTATGAGATGCCTAGTGCCAACTCACAATAGAAAAGTGTTAGAGGGAAAGCAAAGCGAATTTATGAAGTGATTGCTAACATCGAGTTGGCGATGCAAGTGTCTGAATTGACAAAACAAGTTAAGACCATGTGCAACATGATGATGGGGCAAGGACAGAGTAGTTCCAATGAGGTATGTGCTATGTTTGGTAAAGTTGGCCATACTACTAATGTTTGTCCTTCAGGTGAGAGTTTTCCAAAAGTTATGGAGCAAGCAAACATGATGAACTCTTACAACCAAAGACCCCACAATCCGTATTCGAACACATACAATCCTAGGTGGAGGAACCATCCAAACTTTTCATGGAGAAACAACCAGCCACAAGGAAGTTCTAAACACATCATGCAGCCAAAAAAGCCATCATTGGAGGAGACATTGAACAGTTTCATTCAAGCTTCTCAAAAGAATAATCACTACTTCAAACAGAGATTGCAACAACAAGATGCATCCATAAGGAAGATGGAGGTCTAGATAGGCCAAATTGCAAAGTCATTGATGAACAATCTTACTTCCTCGCAAATGCATGAATTGCTATCGCAGTATAGTGTGCAAAAGCAAGGGTCGATCCCACAGAGATTTGTAAGTTATCAAGTAATCCTAATAACTATGCCTTAATTAAACAAATAAATTCAAGCAAATTAAAGAACTAGTGATTAAAACTAAATGTAAAAAGAAAATAATAATTAACTACTACTGACTAAGCCAAAATAACACCAATAAAAACTAATTTAAGAACCAATGAACTACAACCTAGGCATCCAATTTCACCATAATAATCCAATTTTATGCCAACTATCAAACTATAGTTATCATAATCCAATTTATAGGGCTCGCACTCACATAATTAGGGTATTACCATAAGGTGTTCGAGATTAACCTAGTATCTTTAACACGAGACTAGCTAGGGTGTATAGTCTAGCCTACTGATTAAAAAACCATTAAACTCAAGAGCACTCGAAATCAAGAATAAAGGATTAAAGGTGCATCTGTCAGGGCGTATGCACAAATACTAATCATTCAAGAAATCATGAACCAATTAGCATTTTGTACTAATCATTCAAGAAATCATGAACCAATTAGCATTTTGTCAGGGCGTATGCACAAAATACTAATCATTCATTCACACGAGCTATTCAAGATTAGCTAGGGTGTGTAGTCTAACCTTGTCTCACACAATCAATTAATTAACATTAAAGGTGATCAAACAATAACATCAATTAAAAATTGAATAAAGGATAATGAATAAAACTAGAATTGCAATGGATTGAAAAGACAAATAGTATTAATAAAGACATAAAACCTTCTTATAAGGCTACATTGGATCCCTAGAAAAGTATTTAATTACAAATGATCATAAGGAAATCAAACCTCAAAATCTTGAAAACCATGAAGTACAAGAAGAAGAAGATGAAACCCTAGGTAAGATCTCCTCTCCTTGCCTCTTCCTAATTATATTTGATATTATAAACCCTAGTTCCCTAAAATATTGCTAAGGACATCTATTTATAATATTAAAGTCATGAGGGTATTACGGTAAAAATTTATACTTCAATTTAAAATGCATAATAAAAAAATATTTACATCTCCAAGCACTAATGTAAATTTCATCTCCATTTTAACCATATTCCAGGTCCAACTGGGCCAAGATAAAAACATAAAAGTTGTAGCTATGTCTCTTATCTTTAAAATGCCACTAGAACCAGGTCGATTGGAGTTGTGCAGCTCGAGTTATGATCATTTTCGTGTAGCATATTCTAAAATTTTCCGAACGTCAATTTCCCGCATTGTGTCGTGGCATGATTTTGTGGCACCGCAGCATGAAGTTTCTGTCCATTTTACAACTTTTTCTTGCTGTGGCGTGGGAATAATTTTTCTACAGTGAGCAATCTTCAAAAATTCATAACTTCTTTGTTTGAGCTCTGATTCTCGAACCGTTTGTTCCCATACGATTCTGATTTTTTACTCTTCAACGTCCATACTTGAAATCCTCATTTTTAACCACATAAATACCTGAAAATTCACAAAACATACCTGTGATTCTAGAAAGTAAAAGAGATATAGAAATTAAGTAAAATTAACCAATTAAACCTAATTCCCACACAAAATACCCTTAAAATCACTAAGTATGAGTGCTCTTCCAAGCACTCATCAGTCATTACAAGGTTATGTTCCTGGGAACTTACCAAGCCAACCCTAGCAAGCAAAAATGGTCACAATTTTGAGGAGTGGTAAGGTAATTAAGAAGGATATCAATTTTGAAACTAATGAGCCCTTGTCTGATTTTGCAGGTAAAAAGAAAGAGGGGAAGCAACCGAGTGTGCCCATGTAGAATGAGGAGATTGAAGATCAACATGTGCCACCGAAGTCTTATGTCCAACCCGTGCCTTTTTTGGGACGCTTGATTAAAAGAAAATGGGCAAAGTCATTTTCTGATATATATGACATTTTATCTAAGGTTAATGTGAACTTACCCTTTCTTGATATGATCAGGAACATGCCAACTTACACGAAATTCTTCAAGGAGTTGAACACTCGCAAGCGTAGGTATGAGCCGTAAGGGAAAGTGATGATTTCAGAGACTGTGAGTGCAGTGCTCGAATGCAAGTTACCACCCAAGCTAAAAGATCTAAGGAGCTTTGTTATCAACATCACTATTGGTAAAAAGAAAGAAGAAAGAGCGATGTTGGACTTAGGTGCAAGTATCAACCTCATGCCATATTCCATCTATCAGCAGTTGGGAATGGGAGAACTAAAACCTACAACAATGACCTTGCAGTTGATAGATCGATCAGTGAAATATCCAAGAGGTATTGTTGAAGATATTTTAGTTCAAGTTTACAAACTAATTGTTCTTGTTGATTTTGTGGTGTTAGATATGGAGCAGACTCAGACCATAGCAGTAAGTTCCCTATTTTGCTAAGACGTCCCTTCATGGCCACAACAAAGACCATCATCGATGTGCAAAATGGAAAGCTAAAAATGATGGTTCTTGATCAAATCGTTGAATTTTCAGTTTTCAGTTCTATGTCCTTACCTCCAGATACTAATTATTATTTTGCAGTTGATTCTTTGGATCCTATCATTGTGTCTAGTTTTCCGTAGGGGAAGACTAAAGATAAACTGGAGTTTGCTTTGACAGTAGAGGATGGTGAGTTGAGTGACGATGAGGCTAGGGAGTACGTGGTAGGGTTGGATAGTGAGATTGGGGACATGTCTGATGAGGAATTGAGGATGGCGATTGAACATATTGATGTCAAGTTAGTTTCTTCCATTGAATCCCCACCTAAGCTTGAGTTAAAACCCTTAACACCTACCCTTAATTATGCTTACTTAGGAAATGATCAAACCCTCCCTATAATTATAACTTCAAACCTAACCATAAAGGAGGAGGAGAAATTACTTAAGGTGTTGAGTGATCATAAGACAACCATAGGTTGGATAATAGCAGACATCAAGGGAATTAGCCCCACTATGTGCATGCATAAAATGTTGTTGGAGGAAGATTCCAAACCAACTAGGGAAGCTCAAAGGAGGTTGAATGCGCATTTGCAAGAGGTGGTGAGAGTTGAGGTGTTGAAACCACTTGATGTTGGGATCATTTATCTTATTTCAGACAACAAGTGGGTGAGTCCAGTTCATGTGGTACCAAAGAAGTCGGGCATTACTGTGGTAAGAATTTCTGATAATGAGTTATTACCAACTAGGATGACAACAAGATGGCGGGTCTGCATTGATTACAGGAAGTTGAATGCTAAAACTAAAAATAATCATTTTCCTTTTCCTTTTATTGATCAAATGTTAGAAAGCTTGGATGGTTATTCTTATTATTGTTTCCTTGATGGTTTTTTAAGTTACAATCAGATTCCTATTGCTCTAGAGGATCAAGAGAAGATGACATTCACATGTCCATTTGAAACCTTTGAGTATAAAAGGATGCCCTTCGGATTGTGCAATGCTCCAGCGACGTTTCAAAGGTGTATGATGTCCATCTTTTCTGATATGATTGAAAAATTTATTGAGGTGTTTATGGATGATTTTTTTGTTTTTGGGTTGTCATTTAATAAATTCCTTGATAATTTAAATTTGGTTTTGAAAAGATGTGTTGAAACGAATTTGACATTGAGTTGGGAAAAGAATCATTTCAGGTGAACCAGGGAATTGTTTTAGTGCATGTGGTATCTAGTATGGGTATTGAAGTAGACAAAGATAAGGTTGATTTGATTGCTAAATTGTCGCCACCCACATCTGTGAAGGGTGTGTGAAGTTTTCTTGGTCATGCAGGTTTCTATAGGCAGTTCATAAAGGATTTTTCTAAGATTAGTAAGTCGTTGTGTAATCTCTTGGCTAAAGAAACACATTTTGATTTCAATGATGAATGCTTGACTGCTGTTAATATTTTGAAAGATAAACTCACATCTGCACCTATTCTTATGTCACCTGATTGGTTACTTCCATTTGAGTTGATGTGTGGTGCTTCTGATTTTGCATTAGGGGCAGTTTTAAAACAGAGAGTAGGAAAAGTGCATCATGTTATTCAATATGCGAGTCGTACTTTGAATGATGCACATATTAACTACTCAACCACTGAAAAAGAATTCTTGGCTATTGTGTTTGCTTTAGAAAAATTCCGCTCGTATTTGATTGGTTCTAAAGTAATTGTGTTTTCAGATCATGCTGCATTAAGATATCTGTTGAGTAAAAAGGATGCTAAGTCCAGGTTAATCAGATGGATTTTATTATTGCACGAGTTTGATTTGACTATCAAGGATAAGAAGGGAAGAGAAAATGTAGTGTCGACCACTTGTCTAGACTGTCATAGTAGGTGCCCTAGAGCCAATCAATTATTATAGAATTTACTCTTTGTAATAATGTTCATTAATCAATAAAAGACATTTTATTCTATATCATGTAAATCATAATTGTATGTATTGATATATGTCCTTAGGATGGTAAAATCGTGACGAGGGTATTAAGTGTTTCAAATCTTGATAGTGAGAAACCTATAATCACATATGGTGGCCATTCTAGAAATGTCTGTAGCCCTAGTATTATTCTAACCAAGGACACGGATAATACAGTAAGGCTATCATAGTGTTGAATGACCTTGTCCAAAGGCAGTGACTAATCTCACTTGTCAAGGTTGTTTAGCGACAATCTAGTGTAAAACATGGGTGCTTGCTATAGGCAAGTTCATTGGACAAACCCACCAGAGGATTCTATATGGATGGTAACCCTAGTGTCTATGGAATAAATCCTCTAACGAATGGTGGTGCATGTGATCCTTAGACTTGAGATCACTAGAGCGTCTTGTGCACCGATTGGTGTAGTTTGACACTAGCCCAATGTAGTTCTATTTAGAGCTATCAATACGGTAGTGATTGGCTACATCGAGGAGTGTATCAAGACTATGATGGATCTACAAAGTATTCATCACTTCCAGGTGCGGGAGAAGTTATCTCACAGCGTAATTCAGTGAATGGCAATGACACTAAAGTTGTGGCCATAGTGGGATTGAGTTGTTGCTCAATCCAATTTATTATTCCGGTCATGGGTCCAGTAACTGAATACAAAGATATCAAGAATAACTGAGGTTGACACTGTTTCTGTACTGAGCCTCGATGAGATACCATATGATGAAAGGATTTGATTGCATGGTAACCATATCTTTGATAGGTAGCTATTTCACTGAATCCGAATCTATCAGGTGACCATTATACCTTACTAGGGGTCAATCTTGGTCTGTGTGTAGTGAGACGATTGATTGGTGTCAATCGCGATACTACTTACTGCCGATATAATAAGGAGCCTACGGGTCATACACTTAGAAGATAGGTTAAGGATGGTCAATTTTGGAAGGGTATATTCGTCTTTTAGATGAATGGCCATATTGGTCATTTTGCTATGTAATTAAATTTACTGAGGTTGTAGCCTATGTCCAATTTTATTATTGGAGTAATTTAGCAAAATTATGAATTTAATTATTAGAGTTAATATTAATATTTAACTAAATAATTAAATAAGGGTTAATATGCAATTATACCTAAAGTTTGGGTTGTTGCTAAACTTGAGGGGTGGAAGAGATATTTGCTTGATTATTTAAAGAAAGCAAAAGTAGGTTTTACCTACACTTTTCATTCCCTAGCCATGCATTGAAATTGAGAGAATAATTTTTCTTCTCTTCTCTATTCACTCTCTTCCATTACTTGACTTCTTAAAGCCAAGAATTAATTCTAGCAAAATTAATTCTTGGTCATTGGCGTATTGTCTTCGTGTGGACGATGTGAGTTTGATTCCATCCTCGAATAGGTAGCGAATCGTATTCAGAGATATTGACGGAGCCTTCAGTCACAGGTATAATTGAATCCTTGTATGGATTTTTATTATTTCAATTTAAGCATGTAAAATATAAATATATATATATATATATATTAGACCTTGATCTTGGCAAAATTAGAGTAATCGATGGGCGAAAAATTTTTGTTTTCCGCTGCCATTGTTCATCAATTAGTAACATAGACTTGTGGAGACAACAAGCTATGAAGAGCATAATCAAGATGGGGACTACCGCCTCATTGAGATCTTCCCTGATGAACAACTTTTTTCCATCCTTGGAAAAGAACCTTGGTATGCTGACATTGTGAATTATCTTGCATGCTGTATAATTGACCCTGATTTGACCTTGCAGGAAAAGAAGAAATTCTTATCCACTGTTAAGCATTACTTCTAGGACGATCCTTATTTGTTTAAAAGTTGTTTAGATCAAATAATAAGGAGATGTATCCTTGACTCAGAGCAGTAAGACATTTTAAGACATAACTAGGAATCACCTTGTAGAGGACACTTTGGTGGGAAGAAAATGACACATAAGGTATTGCAATCTGGATTTTATTGGCCATCCTTATTTAAAGATGCTTTTACCTTTGTGCATGATGTGATCATTGCCAACGGACAAGGAATATTGGCAAGAGAGATGAGATGCCACTCATGACATTTATGCTAGATGAGTTGTTCGACGTGTGGGGCATCAACTTTATGGGTCTGTTTCCTAACTCTTTTGGTTATACTTATATACTTGTCGCCGTTGATTATGTTTCAAAATGGATTGAGGCGATTGCCACAAAGACTAATGATAGTAAGGTTGCACACAATTTTCTTAAAGACTTTATTTTTACCTGTTATGGTACCTCTAGAACTATTATTAATGATGGGTGGAGTCACTTTTGTAACAAGTCTTTTATAGAACTGTTGAAGAAGTATGACATTAAACATAAGGTGGCAGCTCTGTATCATCCTCAGACTTAGGGCAAGTAGAAGCAACAAGCAAATCAAGGCCATTTTGGAGAGAACAATTTGCATATCAAGGAAAGATTGGGCGGTGAAACTGAATGATGCTTTATGGGCATATCAGACAGCTTTCAAGACTCCACTTAGGATAAGTCCCTATAGGTTAGTCTTTGAGAAAGCGTGCCATCTACCAATTGAATTAGAACATAAGGTGTATTGGGTGATAAAGAGATTGAACCTTGACATGGACAAGGCTGGACAGGAAAGGAAATTGTAACTAAATGAGTTGGATGAGCTTAGGAATGAAGTGTATGAGAACGCTAAGATCTACAAGGAAAGATCTAAGTTGTACCATGACAAAGTAATATGACGAAAAGAATTCCAATTAGGTATGAAAGTGTTACTTTATGACTCACGGTTGCGCCTTTTTTCCAGGGAAATTGAAGTCAAAATGGATTGGGCCATTCATAGTTTAAGAAGTGTTCCCTCATGGAGCGGTGGAGATAAAAAACTTGAAGACGAGAAACCGATTCACAGTTAATGGACACCAGCTCAAAGCTTACCGGTTAATTTATGCTCCAAACAAGGAAGTGAAGTACTTCAATGATCCTGAATGACGATTGAGTGTCCTATCTAGCTTAAGACGATAAACAAGCGCTTTTCGGGAGGCAACCCGAATGTTTCTTTCCCTTTGTTTGTTTCGTTTTTATTTATTCATTTATTTTTATTTCAGTTTACTGTTTTAATTACATTAGGAGTGTGTTATTTTGGATTTTATTTTATATGTGTTTGAATTTTTAGCAAATCTAACACTTAGTTTAATTTTTCCAAAAAATCCACTTCACGCCGCAGCGCAACTTCTTCAAGCCGCGGCGCAACTTCTTCAAGCCGCAGCGCAATTTTATGAGCCGCTGCAAAAATGTGGTGATTTTGAAATTCAAATCCATAATCATGCCAAGGCACAAAATTTCAAGCTGTGACGCTTTTACGCCATTTTTCATTTTAAGCGCTGAAAACCTGAATCATACGGAGGTGCAAAACTTTGCGCCATGACACAATTCGCAAAATATAAAAAGAACATATAAGTTTTGATTGCGTCGCAGCACAGTTCTTTTTCTTTCAATTTTCTTTGCCTCTTTTTCAAAAAAAAAAAAAAAAATTGCTACAAATTGTGTTTGATTATCCTTAACACTTCTAAACACTTAATTTTGTAGAAATTGCTCCATCTGAGTGCAAAAATTCAGCCAAAGAGAAGTTAGGGTTGAATTGGGGAAAATTGGATTTTGGGCATCACTCTTCAATTCGAGGCAATTGATTACAATTCTTGCTCTAGTAAGCATCCTAGATCATTCACTTGTGATTTTATTTGAATATTTGGTTCTGGACTGTTGCGTTTAGGGTTTGATTGATTTTGGGTGTTGATTGAGCGGGATTTTGATTGGATTTTGTGTTGATTGTGTTGTGATTGGGTGTATTCGGTGTTGTGTGACTGTCGTGTAATTGGGCATTGGGCGAGATTGTTGGTGGAGTTGTGTTATTGTGTGATTTTTAGGAGTTTCGATATCCTGATTTATTGTTATGGCATCGCACAAGAAGGGTAGAGATGCGGCTAGTTCTAGCAGAGGTCTTGGAGGTTCCTCATGGGATACCCATGACCCTAGATTTGTGAGTTCAGCTGCTGAGGATAGGTATAAGGACAATGTTATAAATGGTTGAGGATTCGTGGATGAACGAGGGTTTGATTTTAAAAGTCTTTATAAGGGAATTACTAACATTATTAGTGATTTGAGTTGGAAAGACTTTACAGCCCAATCAGAAGCAATTGTTGAGCCTCTCGTTATGGAGTTTTACGCCAATGCCTTTGAGCATAGAAATGGAAGAATTAGGATTAGAGGGAAAGAGGTGCAATTTGATGTTAGGATGATTAACGAGATTTATGGGTTACTGACGATTTCTGAAGAGGAGGATGATTTTTCCGAATTCCTTAAGGACCCAAACTATGATGAGGTACTATAGTGTTTGACAAAGGGTCGAGAAGAGTGGATTTTTTGTTGGAACAACAGAAGAAAGGGTTTCAATGCGACTTCACTCATATTCACTCATAGGGTGTGGGAGTAATTTGTATATGCCAAGATCTATCCTTCAGGGCACCTTAGCATGTGGACACTGAGAAAGCTCTCATGATATATGCCATATCTTAGAGGATGCGGATCAACATAGAGCAAATTATCCATTTTGGGATTTTGTATGTATCTAGATCTTTGAAATCCTATCTATTTCCTAGCCTTATCATTGTCTTATGTGTATCTGTGGGAGTTGTTATTAGGGACGATGAAGTGAAGAGACCACCATTTCCACCGCTAACAGTAAAATATCTCCAGAATATTACCAGTGGGGGTAAGGGAGTTGTAGCCCAAGCATAGCCGCACAGACAGAGAGCCTCGTACCTATCAACATCTTCCTCCTAGTCTGTACATGGTTAGATAGCCGACTTGAGAGCAGAGATGAGAGAGTGGCAGACATAGGTCACAGGTCAAATGACGTATCAGGCTGAGTGCTTATAGACACTTCAGTGGATCCATCAGTTTTAGTTATCTCAGTTAGAGTGGATCTGGGACAGTTTGTAGTTCCTATCTACCTAGGGAGTTTCTAGCCGAGGGCACCTGTTGGTGGTGTTGTAGGAGGTGATGGGGGTGATTTTGACATGGATGGCGATGATTTGGATGATGATGATGTTGATGGTGGTGGTCAGTAGGAGAGACTAGATCGATTTACTGATGGATTTCCTGCTTCTTCATTTTATTTTCTGTACTTTTGTTTTTAGTTTGTTTTTGTGTGATTTTGCTTTTCAGTTTATAAACTTTAGTTACTTTCTTATGGTTTCCATGTTCTTTACATTTCTATTTTATTTATTTTTTTCCATAAACATTATACAGATTAACAGACAACATGGATTCTATCCAAGACACCATCTATCATTTTCTTTTGTGTTGGTGGATTTCATGTTGATTACAGGATATGCATTCAGTGGAGTTACTTCTAGACTTTCCGATTTGTTCCTTAATTAGGGGGTAACTAGTTTCTTTCTCTTTTACCTCTACGTTGTTTTGTTGGCTACATTGGGGACAATGTACGATTTTGGTTAGGGGTGGGAAAGTATGAAATTGTTGCATGCCTATAAATTTGGTTTATGGAAGTTTGTGTTTCCTGGATGATGTCAAATGTCTGTGATATTGTTGATGGCAATGACATGTAGTATTTAGAAGAGGTGATTTTTACATTAATTCGAGAATTATCCTGGATGTTGATTTTTGCTTGATTTCGAAACTCTTGGGTTTGTGGTTTGTTTGGTTAGTTGGTTCCAACTTTTGGAGGTGTTTTGTGGTGAATTTCCTATGCTTTTATGAGATCCCTAGACTCTAGAACCTATTTGATGATCACTTGAGGTGAAATCCTAGACAACGCATGATTTAAGAAATTACTTAGGCCATCTTTGGACCATTTGTGCCCTTCAAGCCAACCTTTTATGCTATTATCCTTAGTCACCCCGTTGAGCCTTATTGTATATATTTAGCCTTTATTTTCCTTCTTTCAACCCACAATAACCTGTCCCATTTAACCCTTCAACACATTTCCTACCCATAATTTTCTTTTAAGAGTAATTAATCTAAAATTTTGAAAGTGAAATGTGTGTGGCTTCCAGATTTGTATAAGACTTTTTGAGGATGCTCGAAAGACTGGGTTGGGGGTTGTTGTGTGGGAAAAGGAGGATGTTGGGTGATATTCATGCTTCCTAAATTGTTGTAACTTTATGTCTATTGTTTAAAAAAAAAAAAAAATGCAATTCAATAAGGAAGAATGAAAAGGGTTCAGATCCAATTGTGGTTAGGGAGAGTGATGCAATAAAAAAAAAAAAAAAAGGCATTCCGGGTTTGAGAGAGTAAGTTGTTTTGAGCGATTGTGTTCTTTGAATTGTAAGATTTTTCCATTAATTGCTTGAATCCCTTACGTCCTTAGCCTAACGTTACAAGCTTAATGAAGTCCTAACGATCTGAAGTTGTGTGTTGCTCCACATTAGTGGAGAGTGATCTGAAAAGAAGGCTTATGGAGTTGTGTTTTTAATGTTTTCTATTTTATGGGATAAAAAATGTTGTTTTCTATTGGAGATTGCAATGAAACCACCTCTAAGGCTAGGATTAATGATTTGTGGATTGATTGTGATGGAGAGTTGAGAACGAAGGTGAAATTGATTTTTAAGGTGTTCTTGGATGTGTACGATCATTGCTTATTCTTGTTGTAGTGTGTGTATGCAATGTATGAGGCATATTTATTGATGAATCTAGGAAATCCATGTTTTGTATATATGTGTGTTAGGAATTGGTAGGATGTTTGTGGGTAGCATTGCTAAAAACCCTCACGAGACTATAACTCGTCCACTAGGGGGACCTTGGGGTTTAAAGACTTATTGCATACGCTAAATGCAATCGTGTCAACCTACAGAAGTGGTTGAGTTAGGACTAGATTTAATTGCTTTCATTGCTAGGGACTAACAATAAACTGGTTAGGGGTTGTGTTGAGTGGTGAAAATGTAGATTTATTTTGTGATTTGGGGGTGAAATTGTAAAGAATTCAAGTTTTAACGTATTATTTTGGATGAGTTTCCTTACTTATTTTGTTATCTCCTAAAATCACGGGTTTTTGTAAAACCCCTCCCTAGCCGGGTATTTCCTAAGTATCCCTTGGCCATTTCATCTTTGTCCCTTAGTAAGCAATTCCATCTTTGTCCCTTAGTCAATTACCAAAATGCCTTCACTTTTATTGAATTCTCTATGATTTTCTATCTCTTTTCACTCCCCACAAAATCAACTAGTTTTGAGTGAAAAGACTATTTTACCCTTAATGCAAATTTAAGGCATTTTCTTCATATTCTCTTAAAATAATTCTAACAAAATTTAACTAAGGGCTATACAACATAATTTAAATCATGTGCCTCAATGTTGGGTGTTACAATTTTATACTCATTTACATGTATATTTTTGTAATATATATATTTAGTGAGTTTTACTGTTTATTTTACGGGTATACTAGCTAGAGAGAGAGTCATTATAGAATGACATTGTTTGGCATGTTATTGAACATTCAACCTTAGCATGCATTCTAAACAAAATATTAAAACATGCCGGTACATGGCTCAACTAAAACTGATTTCCTCGAGCCTAGAGGAATCGGTAAGTCACCTAGGGGTCCTATAATGAATATCTTGAGTCTTCAAGTATAATTGCCTCTTCCTTTGCTCCGCCTCAGGTACATTACAAAAACATCATACTAAATTTACAATAAAATAAATCTTAATGTAATTTTACATCAATAAATTTAGAAACCTCGATTTACATTCGAGGGGAATGAGATAAGAAAAGAATGTACATCGAGAAGGGGAAGGAAGGCAGGACACGCATGCCCTATTTTTAAAACTTACAACCATACATACCTAAAAATAATTTAAAACATTCACCATAGGTAATAGGGCTCATGTATCGGGCA